AGAATATTACTTCATCCTATACCTGTGTTTTGCAAAGCCCGGCACAGGCAGTGGTGTCAGTTGTGATGCAGCTGCCACATTCCTCACTTTCCAAGGTAATGGAGATATTGGTGAGCCGACAGCTGGACCTGCATTCTGATCCTGCCCTCATTAGCGCTGGCAACAGCATCACCATAACAACGAAGCGCATCCTCATCTGGGAATCAATGCGAAGGTGTGCAGCTAATCAAATACAGGTACTGCAGTGGGTAAATTATTAGCATTGCATTTTGTATATATCTTGGGCTTTATTGCTTACTTTTTTTTTTTTAAGAAAATCACTATTGAAAGTACAGTCTAACCCAGACCACACTAAACCAGCTCACATAGCCTGCACATAAACAAAAAGTTGGCTAAATTATTATTAGTTGAGCAACTAAGATGAATACATTTAAATTTGGTTTGGGAAAAGCAACTATCAAACACATTGAAACTGAAGTCAAATTGCTAATATACAGTTCATGCTAATATAAATATAATTGCTAAAATACTAATATAAAGTTAATGTCAGTCCTACCTGCTGGAGTTCCGCTGAGAAAATCCTTTCACCTCAGTTCACGTGGACACTTATACCCTCCTGTCAGACGTGATGCCCACATCTAGTTGAGAGCAGCCATGTCTTATCATACTACTGCATTTGATTTTGTGGAGGTGGCACAAATCCCCAAAAGCCCTGTGGCCATGGCATTCAGTCTGAAAGAGGCTTAGACAGAAGAGGATCAATGTAAAGGCCACCACTGATGTTCTGCTTTTCAAGGTCAGTGTTCTGCAGCACAATTCATGGATTGAAAATCACTGGAACAACAGCTTGTCGTCTCTAAGAGATCAACACATGGTTGCTTCAGCAATTAATTTCTGCAGAATATTTTAAAGAATATTTCACAAAAATCAATCAGTTTTTAGTCTCCACAGCATCTGTTCAGTTTTTACCTGGCTAACTTTTGAAACAGTCTCTCATAACAGATGGAGGTGATGTTTTTATTTTTTACCACTAGATCTATCTATTGATATTTGAAAATGATATTGGGATTGAGATGCTCATGGGCTTTAAAAAGTGTAATGGATAATGTGATGCAATAAATTGATCAAACGTGACAGATCAAAGACATTTAGAATTTTATATTTTTAATATACTTTTTAATTTAAGAAATCTCTGTTTCAAATGAAAGCTGTTCTTTTACAATTTCTATTATTATTCTTTTAAATAATCCTGAAAAACATGTATTATGATTTTCACAAGAATATTATGTGGCAAAACTCTTTTTTTTCAGTTTTGATGACAATAAAAATCATTATTAGCAACTGAGCACCAAATCAGCATATTAAAATAATTTCTGAAGAATCATGTGACACTGAAGACTGGAGTGATGGCTGCTGCTTTGCCATCAACAGCAGCATTTATTTGAAACTGAAATCTCATAAATTAAAAATGATATCATTGCTCTTTTGTTGATTTTGACTGCTTCCATTGTCCTCATTTGTAAGTCGCTTTGGATAAAAGCGTCTGCTAAATGACTATATGTAAATTTAAAAATATAAAAACCCCCTTAAAATTCAAAATGTTTACTGTCGCTTTTGATCTGTTTAATGCATCCTTCACCAATTGAATGCATGAAATCACCCATTACTCTTTTCAAAGCTCGTGAGCATTTCAATCTCCATTTAATTTTCAAATACAAATGTCAAAAGATATATCTAGCGGTTTGCATAAAGACTTGTTTCAAACATAAAAATCTTACTGACCCCAAACTTCTGAACATTTTATATACAGTATATAATCTTCGAAACGGTCCTCTGTAAAATAGCTATTCTAGCATTCATTCCATTTAGCAGCACGCCTAGCCATTATTGCCTTGACCATTATCTGTTTTAAAGTTATACAGTGCCCTGGATTTTCATTTTGATTCTGTTCATTTTCTTTAACAGATCTCAGTCTGGCTCTACGGCTTTTCATCTCCAGCTCAACCTTGACAAAACGAAGCTCTTTTTTCTTTCAGCCGCCCCCAGTCTCTTTCCATCGCTTTTGAAGGTTGTACAGTCATTGCCTCCTGATGTGTCCAAATCTTGGAAATTGTCCAAGATGACCCACTGACCTTCATTTATCATGCTGTGACAAGTGCCCTATCCGAATAAGGCTTTTTAATGTAGAGAAAATCTGCCTTTTCACTCCCATCAGTGCATCCAAAATGCTTCTGTCTGACTCTATATATCAAGTAATTCTCACATTTACTCATGTCTCAATGTACTTCTCATTGCTGCACAGTCATATTCAGGACCCCATTCCTGGCCTACAATGCAGTCAGCACCATTATTCTAATAACTATAAGCCATTATCCAGTCGCACACCCACAACCTTCACACTACAGTCAGAATATTTACTCCCTATACCTATAAAGCAGCCATCCTGTGTGCTTGCCCACAATGACTAAATGTTGTCTTGTGAAATACTGCCCCCTTTTATTCTGTATAGTGCCAGCTATAGAGAATAGACAGAATAGACACGCATAGAAAAAACTTAAGCCAAGTCCAAAACAAGCTACTAAGGTGGGGTATTTGAATAATAAAACAGCAAGAAGTCAATTTGTCAAGAGAGCAAAGGTTGGTCAATGCAAACTGTTTTAACAAGAGCAAACACAATGTCTGCTGCATAACTAATGAGCTGGATCAAACAGCACAATCATTCTGATAGCACACACACATTTCCCCTTCTACAGCAGAGTATGTGAGACATGAGTTTTGTTGAGCGTTTCTCTGTCTTGCGAAATACAATATTTGTTTTCCAGGTGATAAATATAAAGCATTCGTGGCTTAAACACAGTGCTGCTGACGAAACTGGTTTTCTAAAGCTCTCTGTTGTAAAATAGAGTGCCAGGAGAAACAGGCAGGTGGCGTAGTGGGAGTAATCATTTGCATTTTGCTTTCATACAAACATCATATGAGTTTTTTTGAAACATAATTTTTAAACAAACATCGTTTTGAGTTTATTTAGTAGACTTTTTTTTGTTTTTACAGTGCCACTATAGTCTGTATGACTGATTGCTAATGCCAAGAAACTCACATATTATCATATTATAGACAAAATTAAATAAATTGCCCCTATATTACTTTTGTTCTAAAGCCAAACTAAACTGATATAAAATATTATTTGGAAAATATGATACAACTTATTCCAATAAGATGACAGCTTCTTTTATAACATAATAAATGTGTAAGCTAGGTTCTATTTTACAACAAAATAAATTGAAAACTGTGATGAATCTTGTGCTTCCTTGTGTTTAGAAAGAACAGTAATTATTGCAAATTCTGATAAATGTCTTTCATATTTAATTTAATTACATCAACATTTAAACTTTGACATCTTAAAGATAAATGTTGTAAAATCTTTCTTTTTCTCCTCAAGTTTTCAGCGGATCCTACTGTAGCACCCACTTTTCTTCTCTTCGAGGTCCCGGGCCCCAGTTTCGAACCCTCTATGCTAAGCTAAAGGAGGTGAATCTTTTATTTATGCTCGTTGTATAAACGCTTGCTTGTTTAATGGAGCATGGAAGAGTGAAGTGCAGCGCTCTCAAGACACAATCACATTCATCTTTTTTATGTTGTGTTTACATTCTTAACTTTTTCCAAACGATGACTATACACAAACAGGCCGTGACAGAAAGTGTATGTGGCTTTTTGACAGAGCCACACACAGGGCTGCTTAGTGTGTGCAGCTCGTGCTCTGCAGCAGTCCCTCGGGTAGGCAGTTGCGATGAACTGGATGTCAACAGATGCATAAGGGGCTGTCGAAGTTTGAGAACTGCAGGCAGCACACCGGTGCGCGCCTGCCACGACCACGTGGGGGCGATCGAGGTCTTTCCGCGCTGCGCAAACGTGCCTCTCGCGGCGGAGCGCAGCTCCCCAATAACACGAGCACAATGGTCAACGGGCGAGACTGAGCGGCAGACAGATGCGCGCTGCGCATACTTACCTAAGGCTATTACACATGGCATCCTAAAACTTTGATACATCTCGATTCTGACGCCGCTCGTGTGATTTATGGAGCCACGCAGCATGCTCTCGGTAGCAGCACCTGCTTTTGGTGAGTGCGAGTCCAGGCTTAATACAGCGGTGCATGTTTTTTTGGGGAGGGGGTGATGGGCAGGTGATGAGAGATCCTGTTGAATAAAGACCCGACGGCGAGCCGTGGCCAAAACTGTCATCCCTCGAATGCGATCGCACCTGACTGTTTAGGTGTCATTTTCTGCGTTTGGTTACGTCGAGGAATATCTGAGCGAGAGGGAAATTTGGACAAACCTGGGATCTACATCCTCAGCCATCTCTAGCTTGTTATATTGAGGGTGGAAGCTGAGAAGACATCCTCATATCATTTCCTACGTCAGTGGCTCGAATAATGGAACGTGGAGTGCATGAGAGGGCTGATAAACTGCGTGAGACGACTGTTTATAATTAATTGTCAAGGGATTTTGGATCAGTAATATCACGCGCTGTTTCCTGTTTCCTTGCTTGGCTGGCCTGTTACAATAAGGATGTGCCACAGTAGTATTGTTATTAATATTATTATCAATATGTAGCGCAGGATTAGTGACTTATGCCTTTGTTACTGATTACTTTTTCAAAATGTTCTGCTCATGTTGGTGTAGGCTATCCATCCCAGTCTGCTTGGGCTACATTACGATGAGCAGTTTGCATTCTACAACACGTTTTTCTTTTCTTTGCAGCTGTTGCTGGTGTCAAGCGGATTCAGTGATTCATTCATAGCCACCGAAGGGGCAGAGGACGAAACAAACCTACACCCCACCCCTCCCTCACAGTGAAGATGGGAACCAGTGATTTCATAGGCGAATAAAGTCTCTACCGATCACCTCAGATAACGGAGCTCTCCTCCTGCATTCAGTTTCCTTTTGGATAACGCAGGCGCGCGCCGCGCACATGGATTCTAGAACGGTTGGACACCGTTTTCTCATAATGATGATGATTATGATGATGATGATGATGTCACCAGAAGCGCATCGCTTCGCCACAGTTGTAAAGTCCAATTACAATAAGTAAACGTGCACCGAAAGAGCCTAAAGCAATTCCGAAGGCAGCGGACCTACAGTGCCAGTCAAGTGCATTTATGAACTTGCTGAGGCCGTCTTTAACGCAACCTCGTTCTTCAGCGCGTTTTCCATCATTCTGAACGCTTCGTAGTTTGAGAAGATGGAGTTTGCTATGGTGGGCGCGGACAGCGGGGGCTGCAACACCCACCTGCCCTATGGATATGCCCAGGCTCGCGCCAGGGAGAGAGAGCGCGAGCGGGAGCGGCAGTCTCGCGCAGCGGCGTCGGCGGCGGCGGCAGCCGAAGCCGGAACGGTCGGAGAGGGAGGTGGGTCCAGCGGCCATCCCCACAACCATCCGCATCAGAGTCGCACCGCCTCTTCAACGAATGCCAACAACAGTAGCGCCGGGACCGCCTCGCGCCCCTCCTCCTCCTCCTCCTCCTCCTCCCAACAGCCGCAACAGCAACAGCAGCAGCAGCAGCAGCAACACCACGAGCCGCCACAGCAACTTCTCCGAGAGCGAAAAAAGCAACGAGGCGTCGCGCGCTGGAGACGGAACCGCGCGGCACTCGGCGGGGATCTACGCCAATCAGAGTTGGCGCTCCTAGGATCCGAGGAGGACATCATGATTGAGGAGGACGAGGCGGAGGGCGAGGAGGAAGAGGAGGACAGGGGAAGCAAGAGATCGAGTTTTGTCTATAACATGGATGATGAAGAGGAGACGGTTTCGTTAACGGACAGGCGTCCTCAGTCAGGGTACGAAAATGTTTACCACGAGTATGTCTGCTGCGAGAGAGTTGTCATCAACGTGTCGGGCTTGAAGTTTGAGACCCAGCTGAAGACTCTCGCGCAGTTCCCAGACACTCTCCTGGGGGACCCTGAGAAGCGAATCAGGTACTTCGACCCTCTGCGTAACGAATACTTCTTCGACAGGAATCGACCGAGCTTCGACGCCATTCTGTACTTCTATCAGTCCGGGGGGCGCTTGAAGAGACCCGCCAACGTGCCGTTTGACATCTTTTCCGAGGAGGTCAAGTTCTATGAACTCGGGGAAGAGGCGATGCTCAAGTTTCGCGAGGATGAGGGCTTCGTGAAGGAGGAGGAGAAGCCGCTGCCCGAGGACGAGTTCAAACGCCAGATCTGGCTGCTGTTCGAGTATCCGGAGAGTTCAAGTCCAGCCAGAGGGATCGCGGTCGTGTCAGTGCTGGTCATCGTCATATCCATCGTCATCTTTTGTTTGGAAACATTGCCAGAATTCAGGGACGACAAAGAATTCCTCAGCCCAGGTAAAAACTCCACGCAGGCGGACAATGGATTTACGCCGTTCAACGACCCCTTTTTCATCGTTGAGACGGTGTGCATCATTTGGTTCTCGTTTGAGATCATCGTGCGCTTCTTCGCGAGCCCCAGTAAAGCTGATTTCTTTAAAAACGCGATGAACTCCATAGACATCGTCTCTATTTTGCCTTACTTCATAACTCTCGGCACAGACCTCGCCCAGCAGCAAGGCAACGGGCAACAGGCGATGAGTTTCGCGATCCTGAGGATAATACGACTCGTCCGCGTGTTCAGGATCTTCAAACTGTCTCGGCACTCGAAAGGTCTCCAGATCCTGGGGCACACTTTGCGCGCGAGCATGCGAGAGCTGGCGCTGCTCATCTTCTTCCTCGTCATCGGCGTCATCCTGTTCTCCAGCGCGGTGTACTTCGCGGAGGCAGACGAGCCCTCGTCTCAGTTCACCAGCATCCCAGACGCGTTCTGGTGGGCTGTAGTGACCATGACCACGGTGGGTTACGGGGACATGAAGCCCATCACGGTCGGGGGCAAAATCGTGGGCTCGTTGTGCGCCATCGCTGGTGTCCTGACCATTGCGCTTCCAGTTCCTGTCATCGTGTCCAACTTCAACTACTTCTACCACCGGGAGACTGATAACGAGGACCAGGCGCCCGTTGTGGAACAGCCTCCGCCGGGCTGTCCGTACTTTCCGGATTTCCTGAGAAAATTCAAAGGGTCCCCATCAGGGTCGTCTTTGGGGGACAAGGCGGCAGAGTACATGGAGATGGAGGAGGGCGTAACAGAATCTCTGTGCGGGGCTGACACGCAAAGCCCGAGCAGAGGGAACGGTACTGACTTAGGCGGAAAAAACAGTTCACAATCACAAACTCTACAGACAGATGTATGATTATGGACGAACGGTAACCTCCTCAGGAGGTTTTCATAAAGATGACTGCACAAATGGATCAGTTAACAGCACACATGCACAACTTGAAGACATATACACAGTACGCGCGTGCGCAAACACAACGAGACGCTCACACACACACACACACACACACACACACACACACACACACACACTCGCTCTCATCAAGTTCTGGACCTGAGCTGAAACATTTTTGCAATGTGGCTACTTTTGTAGTGAAACATACCCTGTAATCACGTGACAGGCAACGCAAAAACCACCAGCTTTACGTGACGTGGAGAGGTGTCTCTATCTGCCCACGACTCCCGGTTCATTAATGAAGGCAACAAAAAGAACTTGCATAAGCACTTTATGAGTTACATTTGTCAGTAATTGTAGGGAAAAGAGGCGAGTTCTTCTTATCTAATGCTATTATGCAATAACGTTTAAATCGTTTGCACTATCATCAATTATGTTATAGTCTCCCAGTTTAATGCGGAGGAAAGTAACAAGTAACACTGAGGTAGAGAGGGAGGACATTGAAAAACGACTCAGCAATCATACTATGAGTTGCGTTATTAATTAATTCGAAATACTAGCAAACATACGCTGCAATCTTCTCTGATGAAAACCAATTCAGCTAATAGTAATGAATTATTTTAACGTATTTGAATTATTATGATTAATTGGAAAGCAGCATGCTGCGTAACTTAATGCAATGTTATCTTAAATCCCATTATGGCAAACATGTGTCCGCATAGCAGTATTCAGTATGTTCTACACTCTGGTAAAACCCCTTGTTGCACACCCTGTGTAGTTCTTTGTGCATTGTCCACAGTGACTGAAAAGTCATTTATAGTCAGTCCCTTTTGTGAGTATTGGAAAACAAATCCGTCATGTTAGTTTTTGTTCATTAGCACAATATTTGAAACAAACACCATAATTCATCCATCACGCGATGCGAGGATTCATTCTTTCTAAGCATCACAGTCACATTATGGCATACCGAGGCCAAAATAACCGGTTCGCATTGTCTCACAAAGTAAACACCTTGTACAACAGAGTCAACGACACCATGGCTTGAAGGATCAGTTTGGCCACAGTTTTCAAGTTGCTGTCATGGGAGTATATTTCAAGGGAATGCTTCATGCAACTATTTGTCCTCATCCCTTTACCAAATGACAATGCATCCCTTTATAAAAATGCTGGCGGAAATGTACAGCACGGAAGGGAACATGAACTTGGTGGACTTCATGCACAGTGAATTCTCGTCCTTTTGGAGTGCACGATGACCACTAAGCATGCGCAGTGCTTTACGGATCCCAGGTAAGCGATTTCTGTGTTAAGAATTTGCTCAGTCACACAGCAATCATGTTGTCATCATACACTCTCAGTTTTACGCAGCATCCAGGTGTTTACACATCTGCGTGTACCTACTAGTTGTCTGTTATGGCTAGGAACAGGTGTTCCACGTGATCTCAGCATGCATGCGATTTCAACCCTCATGTTTTCTCGTTTTATAATAATATGTCAACAATGTATTGAATTGCTTAGCAACAAGGGGCTTATTGTCAAAGAGACGACTAACTGTGCTGTGTTCCCTTGGAATCCAAAAATCCTCATTGTTCATTAAGTGTTCCGAGCTTCATTCTCTGATGTCATAATAGCTGTTACCATTTTTTGTAGACACGATAATTACCATTTAATCTCTAGTAAACCGATATTTTGTCATTAATAAGACATACTCTTAAGCACAGCTACAGGGAGATAACTATGGCCTCCCTCGGCCTGCTCATCTCTCACAACACGATTACTTGGCCAACGTGTAGGCTACTTATGTAAAATATGCACACTCGATATTAGATTATCGTAAGTGCCTTCTGTGTCATGTCAATCTAGTGCCTTGTGGGCTTGTTACAGGAAAAATGGTTGTGTAAGTTGATGAAAAAGTAACCGACAACTGGCATTTATCAGCCATTAATGCTGTCACCTCTATAAACTCTGCACACTATGTAAAGTATCCCTTTTCAGTAGGGATCCTCTCACAGCTTGTAGTAGATGCACTACTGATAACGAGTTATATAATGACATTAAATTACAGGCAAACTGCTCTGCCTTTAAGTAAAAAAAAAAAAAAGATCTTAATAGTAATAGTCTTAAAGGGGTCATATGATGCGATTTCAAGTTTTCCTTTCTTTTTGGAGCGTTACAAGCTCTTGGTGCATAAAGAAGATCTGTAAAGTTGCAAAGACTAAAGTCTCAAATCCAAAGAGATATTCTTTATAAAAGTTAAGAGTCAACCACGCCTACCTAAAACGCCTCGTTCTAACACGCCCCCACATATCTACGTCACTATGTGGAAATATTAGCATAATGCCGCCCAAATAGTTCTAAAAAAAAAAAAGAAAAAAGAAAAAAAGGGTCCATTCCGACTTTGCTATGACAATCTGGCGTTTCTGAATCAGTGACTGTAAGTATGTTTTGTTATTAGTTTAAGTATTTGCTATTGACTGTTAAAATGTGGAGTTTTGCACAGCGCAGAGTAACGTGTCGTGTGTGTGTGTGTGTGTGTGAGGGGAACAGGGTCACATCACATGTCTTGATATTTACTTTGAAAGCTGAAGCTGCAATTATGGCAAGGGGCATTACATTTCCGACATGTGCTTGTGGTGTTTGGCCAATCACAATGCACTGGGTCAGCTGGCCAATCAGAGCAGACTGCGCTTGTCAAAGGAGGGGGCTTTGTTGAAAACGACGTGTTTGAGAGAGGCGGGGCATAGAGGACCTACAATAATGTACAGTATTTGAAAAATAATGTGTTTTTTGAACATTAAAGCATGTCAACATATTCTGTTACACCAAATACACAAAATAATGATCTTTAAAATAGCATCATATGACCCCTTTAATGATTTTATCATATAGTTCAACAGAGGTGATGCAAATCTTTTAATTCTAAAACATATTTACTTTGTTAATGTACGTTCCTGGTCTTGTTATGAACAATTCATTGGTACTTGTTATTAAGACAGTCTTCACAATTTTCACCACATTTCATTATCAAAATGTAATAACTTTCCCTAGCTTGCTTTCCTTTCCTTTTCTGATGTCACTTAGTCTGCACAGACTATCGGATAATTTTAAACAATAGTTTAATACTTATACTAGGGAACTGTTTTAACAAGCTCATATTTGTTAAATCCACATCTAGTAAATTCTTGCTAGAAATTAAGTTTTCTAAGTTTACATTTTATTGGTAAATATCCTGCTTCGCTTGGAAATGCATCATATTATGGATTTAAAATGGGTTGTGACCAGTAATTTATGTTGATTTCAATATTCAGTATTTAAACACATTCTATATGCTGAAGCTATCCATCTATCTATCTATCTATCTATCTATCTATCTGTCTGTCTGTCTGTCTGTCTGTCTATCATCTATTCTGTATATCTATCTATCACATGCATTATTGTTTGATTTATCTTTTCATAATTATTGTTTATAATAGACTGTGAATGACCACTACGCAGTCAATCACCTTCTTATACATTAGAGGTAAACAAAAAAAAGTCAATTCTTTTCATTTTTATATGGTCTATTTGACTTACTTTTTTCACACAAATGCTTTTTAATACATGTCTCATGTTTTTGTTTGTAATGTTACGGTAGTGTATTGGCTGTCCCACTAATATAGTTACACAAATAAGAAGTGGTTGTGCGTAGTCTTTGTACAAAATCTTTATGTTTACTGTTGAAATCTGAAATGATATTCAGTGTAAATGAGGATATATTGATAGTCCTTAATCATTATGAGATCCTGCTTGCTGAGTCATGCAGTACTTTTGCACATATACGCGCAGGCACTCATATTCATGATAACCCAGGCTATTAAGCACTCGTTTACAGGTTAATGTTGCATAGCCTGTGGAGAGGTGTTACGCTAGCTCTGTCTTCATTTTTTGCTGTAGTTCATATTGGATTGCACCAATACTTCACAGCACTAGTTATTTGCTCTGCTGAACATTTTTAAAACGTTTGGTGCTGGCTGTGAAGTAATGGCTGTTGCCCGTCTTGAGCTCTTTTAAGTTTCTCTGGGCTTAAACGTTGTTGTTAATGATTCATTGCGTCCAAAAGATGAATCTGCTTCAGCTTCAGAGGATATTTTCTGAAAACAATCTGTTGTGCTGCAGTCCAGGCATTTGTAAAATGGATACCAAACTAAAAGTTGGCTTCTTTCTCAGACTTTATTATTATTTGGCATCCTTCTCTCAATCTGTCTTTCCCTTTTCTTTCTCGGTTCCTTCCATTTGCCTCTTCTTCTACAAGGCAGAAGCGTATCCCTCCACTTGTGGCAGCCTCCTTCACTTCTCTGTAAAATAACTTACAGAATCACACGCGTGTCAGAGACTGAAAAACAGAATGTAATTTCTGTGAGATCAGTGGACTCGCAATGCATGTTATTTATTTAAAGTGTAGGTCCATATGTGTGTGCTCGCTTGTCTGCGAGAGTGTAATAAATCAATAAAACCCTTCACCCACATCACCTTCATAAATATCAGACTCAATGCCACAGTAAATGGATATTAAACTAGATTTCCTAATATCAATCACCCATGACTACGAAAGACATTTTGCCATATTGATAGATCAGTGTAACAGCACTCATTTCCATAACACTGACTCTCTGTAAATATCAAGACTGGCATTTGAGCAGTGTGGAGAGCCAGAATAATGTGGCATTAGTCCAACCGAAAGCAATCAGCATCACTCCACTCGGCATTAATTAGCTGCCGTGCGTGATGTGTGTAGTATGACACAGAAGTGTTGCTGTACTTGGCATGATCACCATACCCACACATACATTGGGGCTTAGTGGATGATGGGAAAATAAACAGCACTATAGATTAGAAACTGAGTTGTCATGGCAGATTTTCACTCCATAATCCCCTCATCTTCTCTCAGTAGAAACAACAGTGTTGCGTGGGTTAAATCAGTTGGGCAGAAAAACACTAGCTAGTTACCCTTATGTAACCTTAAAATAAAATTGTATTTCTGCTAAGTGTTGTCCTCTAAACCGCTGTTAGTGTCAAGTGCATTGTGTGGCCTCAAGCACAAGTGGTGTGATGCAGCTGACAAATTGTTCTATGTAAAGCAATGTTTAACATCTTCATGACATAGAGGTACATGTTCATACTCTGAGGGGTGCAAACTGGGTTTTTAGGATCACAGGGCTTGCTAGTGCCAGTATACAGAGAGTTTTGTTTGGATGGTGTCCAGTGGTTTCTTTCAATGAGTCCCTCAGCTAAGAAAAAGTTCAGTAAGAGGGTCAGTGATGTACAGTATAAAAGGAAGAAAAACTCTTTTTACTCTTTTTTTATTTATTTCTAAACAAGCTTCAGTTTAATGACTCATGTGGTGCAAACATCAAGTAAAATGTGATGTGAGTGTACTGTAGGGCTGTCCAAAAAATGTTTGAATTTCGAATATTCGTCGAATTTAAAATAAAAATCCACATTTTAGGTGTGCGTTAAGGAGGCAGCCTTATCAGTGGCGCACGAGATGCGATGACGATTTAAGTGTCGTTGCATTTTAATGTTTTTGTTATCCTGTCCAGTTGAACCCACTGGATGCGGTGCTGCTGTATTCAGAGGCGTCATGCCCATTCACGTGCCCCCTCAGATTTTTGAGCCAATTGGATTTTGAATGCAGCTTCCAAAAGACAAAAAAATAGCCATTTCATATTTTCTATATTTAATACAATCACACCGGCGTGATTAAAACGTTTAGTTCGTCATATCATTCAATTCAATTCAATTCAATTCAAGTTTATTTGTATAGCACTTTTCACGATACAAATCGTTGCAAAGCAACTTTACAGCAAATGAAGTTTCTACAATATTTAGTGGTAGCTTATCAGTGGTGACTGTCAGTCAATGTACATATGGCAGAAATGTACAGAAAAATCAATTAAAGACGTAATCAAACAGACGATGAACACTATTAACAGCAATTATTATATGATGCAATCAAACTTATAGCAAAATTTGGTAGTTCTGTATGTTGTTTCAGGGTTGGCATCATCTGAGGTCCTCTGAGGGGTTGGCATCATCTCTTCTCAGGCGTTCTGGATCCAGACTGAAGCGTGTGTAAATCCTAGTTATATGTTGTTATAGATGTCAATCCCGTGGCAAAAACAGAGAAACAAATAGAGACATAATTAGCGTAGCTGCTGTTCCAACCAAGCAAAATTGATTAGTTTAACCCAAGCTAAAGAATAATAATGTGCATTTGATGAAATTCTTCATAGAGATAATTTTTTTGCAGG